GGCGAGAAGCTGGGGGGAGCCCCACAGCAGGTGGGAGCGTGGAGGGGAGCGGCCAGCGGCCGCTCAGCACGGCGCTGAACGTTGGCTGTGCGGCGGACCTCCTCGAGTTTGTCGAGGTTAGGGTTAGGAGAACGCGCTTGCCCGTCACGGTGTTCTGCCCCCTGCGCCGTCGCCTGGGCGATCGCTCTTCCCAGATCTGGCCTGCCACCCGCACCGTGCGCTGTGTTGATCCCCTCGCCGCTGGGGTCGAGCGAGCGAGAATGCCCCAGCGTTGGAAGAGGCGGGGGCCGCGGCCACAGCGTTCCTGACTGCTGCGGGGTACCTTTTAATGACAGGCAGTGTGTTCTTTACATATAGAATACCACATTTATCCTCAGAAACAATTGCAATCTATGGAAAGGATAAAATAGAGTGATGGCTTAAAAGCTGCTTTTTAAAAAACTTTATAGATTATATTAAATACTTAGAAATATCAGTAATACACTATTTTTATACTTTATGTGTGAGTTTCAGCCTCCTCTCTGGGCAATTATGGAATAGGGTAACTTGGAATCATACTTTGTTTTGAGCCATTTAATTTAGATAATTATTATTTTAATGTAAGCACTTTGGCTTTTACTTTGGCAGTCAGCATGCAATTTTAATTAGCACTTGGAACTTAGTAGAATACATCGATAAGGCACAAGACATGAAGAAATACATTCAAAATGCCTGCCTAAGGATGCTGGCAGCATCCAAGAAAGGCACTTTCAGTATAATGCTCTATGCTTCTGAGAAATCATCCTTGCTGGCATTTATACTTTTGTACATTTAATCATTTCAGTGTTTTGAAATGTCAAAATATTGGCATTAGCAGCTTTGCCGTCTATACCACACACAGAATATTAATTTCTTAAGCTTATTCCCTTGTAGCTGCTAATGTATAAGAACACTAAGCTTATTTTCTCTTCCCAGTTTTGCCAACCAAACTCTTAGATATCCTTTAAACCCTACGTATAATACCCTTTCTCCCAGTTTTCCTTACTCTCTTTTTATCCCATAGTCATTCTCTCTCTCTCTTTTGAGAACACGTTCCACGTTCCACATTTTATTTACATTTTAAGACTAACTTTAGTCTCGAAATCACATATCCATACACCTATTTCCTTTTTGTTGACTTCACTTCAACTTGAATGCGTGGTTTGTTAAACAAAACTGTAAACAAATATTTACCATCGGGACCAGCAGTTAGGGTAATGGCTATGTCGCTGGACGCCCACGTTGTCGACCGTGGTTGGAGTCCTGGACCTGGTGGCTTAAACTCATGCCTGGCGCGTGTGCGTGCGTGCCCAAGATCCCGAGAGGAGAATGGAGGAGAAGGGATTGCAGCGTGACCATCCCCCCTGGGGGGTGATTTCTCGCTTTCTGTCTCTATGTCTCTGTCTGTCTGGCGAGCGCACGCGCCCTATAGCAAAAACCTCTCCAAAAAAAATATATATTTACCATGTCTGTTACATGTAACACACAGGAATAGGAACAGCTTTTAACAGAAATTCATCCATACACTCCTCAGCATTTTTTTTATTATAAATACAGGTATCAAAACAATCCGAACATATTATTTTTTTTATCTTTTTTTGGGGGGAGAGATTTTCACTGTAGGGCGCGTGCGCTCGCCAGACAGACAGAGACATAGAGACAGAAAGCGAGAAATCACCCCCCAGGGGGGATGGTCACGCTGCAATCCCTTCTCCTCCATTCTCCTCTCGGGATCTTGGGCACGCACGCACACGCGCCCGGTGTGAGTTTTAAGCCACCGGGTCCGGGACACGAACCGCGGTCGACTACATGGGAGTCCAGCGACATAGCCATTACGCTAACTGCTGGTTCCCACAATCTGAACATATTTTGATACTACTAGTAGTCAGCACCTACACCGCTACCAAAACTAACACAATTTGTGACAATATTAATTGTTCCTGCTACCTTAAACAATTTTGAGGCAGCTCTTTCACTAAGCGAGATGGGTAAAGCATGCCATTTCTATTTTTCCTTGACATTTTTTATTTTTCAGAAACATATGCTTACACCAGTGTCATCTGACACTTCTTGCCATGCTTTCATCTTGAAAACTTGAATTCTAGGGACCAGCAGTTAGAGTAATGGCTATGTCGCTGAACTCCCATGTAGTCCACCAAGGTTCGAGTCCCAGACCCCGTGGCTTAAACTCACGCTGGGCGAGTGTGGTGCGTGCCCAAGATCCCCAAGAGGAGAATGGAGAAGAGATTGCAGCGTGGCTGGCTCTCTGTCTCTCTTTCTTTCTGGCAAGCACGCGTAACCTATAGCAAAAACCTCTCAAAAAAAAAACAAGAAAACAAACTTGAATTCTATGAATTCTATTTTGAGAACTCCAGGCTTACGTTTAAATGACGGTGCCTTAACAAGAGAAAAAAAACATTGTGTGCATTTTCCCTCTTGTTACCTGAAAACATAATGGTGTACAAATACTAAATATATTCTTACAAATGTCGAGTCATGTGTACCAGCTGGAATTCTTTTACTCAATGTATGGGTATTTGCATTGTGATACTTAATCAAGACATTTATATGAGTACAAGGTTGTTGATTGGAGACAAATTTGATAGCCTCTAAAATTAATTGTTGTATGTTTGTCCTTCTGGTGGCTGTGGAAGCTTCATATTTTCTTTGAGAAGTTTTTCACTATAGGGCGCATGTGCTTGCCAGACAGACAGAGAGAGACATAGAGACAGAAAGCAAGAAATCACCCCACAGGGGGGATGGTCACGCCGCAATCCCTTCTCCTCCATTCCCTTCTGGGGATCTTGGGCACACATGCACACACGCCTGGTGTGAGTTTTAAGCCACCGGGTCCAGGACGCGAACCGCGGTCGACTATGTGGGAGTCCAGTGACATAGCCATTACGCTAACAGCTGGTTCCCATAAGCTTCATATTTTCTTTGGACATCATTAGACGACATAGTTCATGAAGGATGACTTCAATGCTGTAAGAGTTTTGCCATTTTGCTAACATTGGTATGCTCCGTGCATCCACCATCCCACTGGAATTATTTATTCCATTCATATTAATTTTTGTTACAAATCTAACTGATGGAGGATCTTCTGGGTATTTAGGTCCACATTCTACTTTCAGGCTATATATTCTGTTTTCCTAATTTGTCCTTGGTGGCCCAATAATCATGCCTGTCCACCTTGTAAATGCCACATCTTCATAATCTTTGAGGCCCCAGCTAAACATACCATCACCTACTCCTTTTTGTCCTTCTTCAAGTTCTTCAAACAAGCGAAAATTAGGAGGAACTTTAGCTCCTGTGGAGGCTGCCATTTTCTTCTGCAACCCTACGCAGCCGCCTGTATGCACGGGACGTCCACGTCACTTCCAAGAGCATGCTGCCCCGCTATTCTCTTTTCTGTATACACCTATGATCTGTGCATTTCTAAGTGAAGACCACACTGTGTTACAATTATTTTTCCCATATTTTTTTTTCTCCTGTCAACTGTCAATGTCATATTTGTAGGAAATATGTCTGTGTTTTGTTATGTCTGTGTTTTGTTGAAAAGATCAGTATGGTGAAACAGCAAAGAACATATTCTTTATAGTTAAGCATATGTAGGTTAAGTCCTAACTGCTACTTACTTGCTATGAGAACTGGAACTGATTGGGACCAGCAGTTGGCATAATGACTATGCCGCTAGATTCCCATGTAGTGGACTGTGGTTTGAGTCCCAGACCCGGTGGCTTAAACTCACGCCAGGTGTGTCTGCATGCCCAGGATTCCGAGAGGAGAGTGGAAGAGAAGGGATTATGGTGTGGCCATCTCCCCGGGGATGATTTCTTGCTTTTTGTCTTTCTGGCGAGTGCACGTGCCCTTTAGCAAAAAAAAAAAAAAAAAAAAAAAAAAAAAAAAAAAAAAAGTGGAGCAAATTACTTAACTTCTTTGTTATGCTATGCAGAAGTATTTTGGAGCTTAAATACCTGCTCCATTCATCAGTTCAACAAATACATATAGAGGTCCTGTTACATGTTGGAAAGACCTTTATAGTTTATTGGGAGAGACAGATTGCAATATAAGTCTTGAAGAATGAGTATTACTTCACTTGCACAGGGATTGTGCGGGTTGAAGTAAAGATAGTAGTTCAAGATAGAAGAAGCATATGCAATGACTTTGAACCAGAGAGAAGATGGCAAGTTCAAGACACAAGAGAGGTCCAATAGAGCCATGATGATGAAGTTAAGGTGGAGATGTAAATAACAGCAGGGATCTTATAAGCCAGGTACAGGGCAGAGGGATGTTGTAAAGTGTATGTAATCACATTTGTATTTAAGGAAGCTCTATTTCTTTGGCCAAGTGTACATTGATTTGGAAAAGTCAAGAGAATAAGTACAACCAATTAAGAGGCTGTATCCTAGAAGTGGTGATGGCCTCAAAACAGGATTTAACAGGGCCAGTCAGTGGCGTGGTGGTTAAGGTGGCTAGATCCCACATGGCTGATTACTCAGTTTAAGACTTGTATGTGATGTCTCAAAGAAACTCTAAGCATATGTGCAGGAGTGCCCAAGATCCCCAAAAGAGGGAGAACTGGAAGAGAGGGGATTGTGATATGACCATTTCACATAGCTAGTGAGTGTTTTCTCATTTCTTTTCTCTCTGTCTGGCAAGTGAATGTGCCCTCTGACAAATTAAAAATAAAACAAGACTAAACAACAGGAGTTACAGTGGTAAGAAGGTAGAGCAAACAAACAGCAATGTTTAGAATTTAAGTAAGGCAGGATGTGATTAGACATGGAAGTAGAAAGATGGGATAAGGAAAGCAGAGTACTATCAGGAGAAATGACAAAATTTTGACTTCGGGATGTTGGTGCCTTTTTCTGAGTTAGGAAATCCAAGGAAGGGGTTTAAAGAACAAGGGGAGGGTATATGTGAAGTGTGTGTGGGGGAGAGGGTGGGAATTAAGGAGAAAAAAGCAAAACATTCAACACATGCAAAAATAAAAAATTATCTGTTAATGACTACACTACTACACTAACATACAGGGTATTCATGCTTGGAAAATTCATTTTGTATGTTGTCACAATATACAGTGACTGAATGTAAAAAAAAAAGAAAAGAAGTGGAGAATAGAAAGTGAATCCAGTTTGGAAATACTGGTGTTTAAGGTACCCCTGGGGAGTGCATGATATGACATCATCATTTGGGGCTCTTATGTGTTTTGACCCTACTGCTTTTTGTTCTTGAATGTAAACATTTCCATCAAGATGATATCAACCCTGATGAATTTTCAGCAAAGATTTGTTCCAGTGTGAACTCCGTTTAGTCAAATTAAATTCCTTGATCTATTTTCTATGTGGCATATTTACACTTTTAAAATTTTTTTCTGCCGTATGTTAATTTTACTAACATTATTTTTGTTGGGACAAACTCTTATTTTATAATGATGACTTGATTTACCAACTTCTTTTTCATTATGAAAATTTTAGATTATAGCTTTTTCCATGGCAAATTGTCTTTTAGCCACTATACTTTTTCATATTTATTTTATTTGAGAGAGAATATGAGAGAGAGAGAGAGAGACTGGCACCTTTGATAAGGTCTCATGATGGTGCAATATCCCCATGGCCTTCCAGTCAGGATCATTGGCACAACCAGTGTATTCAGGATAAATCAGGATCCAGTGTCATACAATAGTGCCCCACTACTCCCAACAGTGCCACTGGGATTTGAAACACAATTGACCACATGGGAATCCAGCACCTTAATCACTATGCCACCTGCTGGCCCTGTTAAATCCTTTGAGGATGGTTAGAGGGTGACAGATTGGAAGAGAGAGGATGAAAGAGAGTTGGAATAAGATTTCTCAGGAGCTCATTATAACCCCAGTTCTTTCCAGGGGATGACATCTGGCATCTGTCTTGCTGCCTGAGTCTCTAAAACTAGTGATTTCTAAGCAGCCAGGTGCCCAACCAGATGAAACCATCATCAATCTGGCCTATCTAATTGGAATTTTTAAAAATTATGCTTATTAAAAAAAAAACCATTTGATTCTATATATCATTTATTATGTTAAGAGAATTTACCCAACAGAAAATATATTGCAGACCAGTCCAGTTGAGAATACTGTGTTATCATCAACATGTAGTAAATCCTTTATGTGCTCTATAATGTCTTGCCTCTATTTTTGAGTATTACTGCTTTTGAGAAAGCCTTGCCACCATGTAGTGCAATGACCCATGATTTCAGGTATGCTCTGATATCCTTTCTCTTTAGTTGCAAGCTACATTTACTGAGATCGACTACTCACAGGAAAGGTAAAAGAAAACAGCAGGCACAGTCACAGTGGCACAGGCAGTAGAAGACTGCTACATGATCCTGGCGTCATATGAAAAGGTCTGGGGCTTGGATTCTAGTTTGACCTGAACGTTCGCCTGTGATCCTGACTGGCTGAAAGGCTAGAAGGAGGTTTGTGGTATGACAAGACAAGGTCACAGACAATTGACTCTCTCTCTCTCTCTCTCTCTGTCTCTCCTCCCCGCTCATGAGAGGAGGGAAGGAATGAAGGGGGGGAGAGAGAGAAGAAGAGATGAAGGAAGGCAGACTTAAAAACAAATGAAGCACTCTGCTATGATCCTGCCCACTCCCTGCTCCTCTCATTTGGCCTGACACTGCACAAGTTGTGGCAAAACTTGGCTTGCCTTACAAAAATTGGGGCATTAACCATACATGCATCCTTCATCTCTATCCACTGCTCATCTAGCCATCCATCCATATCTTCAGTATCTTTGGGGTATTTCCTAGTACCAGGTACTATAGTAGAGGTTAAAGTAGCAATAGAGGTTAAAACATGAAGCAACATGATCCCAGCCCTCAGGGAGCTCCCAGTTCAGCAGTCAGCAGTTGAGTTAGTCATTGCAATACTGTTTAAAAAGTGGGCAAAGCTAAGAACCAGTTAGTTACAGGTGAGTTGGATCAATAACAATCTTGTGAGGTCAACTGAACATATGAAATGTACTCTTCTTTTTTAAAAAATTATGTAATTTAAAAATTATTATTATTTTAAAATTTGCTATAGTGCATGTATGCTCACCAGAGAGAGAGACAGAAGATTGGGCAAAAAAGCAAGCCACCAGGTCAGGGACTCAATCCACAGTCAGCGATGTGAGAGTACAGTGACTTAACCACCATACCATGTGTGGCTCCATAATGCACTTTTCTTATCCTAATGTAATTGTTTCACTTGCCAGTTCACACAGTTTCAAAGATTAAATTTGTTTGATGAAGCTGAATATGTTCCAGGACAGAGATTTACTTTAAAGAAAACTTGTCTGCTTATACAGAAGCCAAGACCAGCTAGAGAATCTCCAGGACACTGGAGAAAGGCATTCTGTTTGAATACCTTCATATTTTTAGCTAGAATCTCCTACCTGTCTCCTATTTGTTTTTTGTTTGTTTTGATTTCTAGGACAAAATGTAGGATGGTTTTGTTGACTGTTCTTGGGTAAAGATTTCTTTGGAATTTAGTTCCGGACACATGGATAAATAAACATGGACTGAGCTATGGTATAGTGTATTCCTAACAAGTTCTCCAAGCCTTTGTTTTGCTCAATTTGCTATTTCTTGAGTCTTATGAAGTGTTGCAGTCTTGGATTTCAGTATAGGACTATATAGATACTGTGCAGTGATAGCACAGGTCTGGAAGAGTCTGGGGAAAGCCAAAGACGCCCTGTTTTTTCTTTGCACCAAGCCTCTATTCCCCTTAATGTCAAAGAGGGCCTCATTAGGTTGAAAAAAAAATCAGGGATGTTGGGCATCAATGTCATTCTAAAGTTAAAGTATGCAATAAACACTACATTAAAATGATCTGTAAACCACTGTTCTCTCATATATATGTGCATATGTATATATAAATATATATATATATATTTATATGTATCTTATTGTGGATACACGTTTAGAGAAAGAACTTGAGGTGTGGGGACATGCTCTGAGCAAACACCACCTGACCTTTTGGGGTTTGGCAGAACCTTGTAACTTGTCCTTTCTTTGACCTTCACTGCAGACAGAGCAAGGGTGGAAATTGCTAGGGGCATGTCAACAGACACATCTAATGAACTTCAAGAAACATCTTGACCCCAATTAGCGAAGTCCAATCCCTGCTCTGTATCCAAAAGGTTCTTTAGCCTTCTTTGGGTGTGGTGGTACACTCCTTATGGAGAAGTTCGTTAGTTTCTTTCCCACATCTACAGCTAGGATTTTCTGCATTAGAAAAGAAGATGAGACTTTCTCTTGATGGGATTATCACCAAAGGATACAACTGGCCCAGTATGAC